ATATTGAATCGTTTACACAAAGCACGAGCAGATAGTAATCGACAAGAGGATCAAGAAATATTATGCGAATCTCTCCACTCGATGGTCGGTCAATTACCCTAAAAAGGAGAGCACGTCGACAACACGTATCAACAACAACTGTTTTTAAAAAAATTCACGAGTGAAATTCAGCGACACTTTTTGAAGCAAACAAAGCAATGCAAAGAAACGCAAAACTGAGGACCCCCATCAAGGAATTCAGAAATACATAACCCTAGAGCTGACTATCCAGAGCCATTTAAGCAAACCTATGGTACAAATAAATGTCGGTAACAATACATCGCATTGTCAGTTACAAGAAATGCGCAACAGCCATCAAAGGACATTCATAAATAAACCATATTCATGCTTTTAGTGCGGCAAGGCAGGGCGCCTACCTAATGACTACGCTAAAACAGGATCTTATCAGGATCGATCTTAAATGATAGGAAACTGAAACCTTTGCCACAATTGTGGTTCACCATGTCACCGTTTTTTCGTGTGCGAGACATGTTCGTACGTAAGTGTGACGAGCATTGGCACCATACTTCGATTTGTGGATAACAACAGGAATAAAGCGAATCGACACCGCCCACAAAACTAGAAAACTTCTCAAAGAGAAGGTCCGTCCACGATCAATACAGTATGCTCCAAAAAGACAAAATCATCAAGAGACAACACAATGGTGCAGGCAAACAATATGCAGTCACAGGCTGCTTCGTCGTGCATAATGTCTGTGTACCTACTCACAATGACCAGGATTATTAATGCAATAAAAACGAAAAAAAAACCGCCTGGTTTGATGCAGTGAAGGCTAAGAATCACTGGAGAACGATATTCTAGAATATGATGAACCGTTAATTCAGAAATGCTGCGCAGGAGAGCAGGAAGAAGACAAAGAAGCTAAGGACAGCTGAGAACAAATCACGAATGAAAGCGAAATTGGAATTGAAACTGATTTTCCCAACACAAAAGGGACAGACGATTCATTTGATTACACTGATGATAGAGAATCACTAAAAGATGATTTTCTTAAATGTGTTTCACCCTTATCCCATTGTTTTGCTTAAGGCTGCCGAAGGAAAACGATGGAACTTGAGACAGCCTTGAAAAAGGCCAGGATGAAAAAGAACTCAAAAGGGAAATTAGCAACACAGAGGAAGAAGGTGATGAGTATGAACTTCCTCTATGGATCCAAGCACTAGACAACAACCCCAGAAAACAGTCAAATGCATGCAAATCGCTGAATCGAGGAGGCAAAGCACACTAGGCATCACTGTTTATATTTGCGATCATAATTCCGGCATGAAAAGCAACGAGACAATGCCGACAGAAGTGAGTAACCCGACAATGAACTGAACGAACGCAATGACCCTTATGGTGCATTCGTCACACCACAAGCAATAGAGGAGGAGAACAAGAAATCATCATCACGTGATAAAGGCGTCGTAGAACATCTACGCCATTTGAACAGGCTAAGGACCTACGTAGTTCCTTGGCGGGAGGTAGTATAGCAGTTATCCCTGAACAACTGCTATTATCCCCGTCAGCCATTCAGTCAATGAGTCATAGCAGCTGTTAATGGCGACTGGCGAATGGCTGCTTATCTCCTTGCAGCTGAGCGCCGAACTGTGTTTGTTAGCTTGTTACAAGCTAACACTGGCAAGATGAATGCACCGAATGTCACTACACATCTATAGTTAAACCGTAGAGGAAGCAGTCATAGCAGAAAGATTACACGAGCAGCTCAGATTGGATTTTTCCAACGGTGCAACACATCAACTCATCATCTCATTTCGTGGAGCGGAACTATGGTAATTTTTCTTGAATAGTCACTATTTCCTTGTTAATGTGTAATTCCTGCACTAACTAGTACCTACAGTTGTTGCTATCTTAGCTGAATCTTCTCAAACATTCAGTTCAAGATTTTCATCAACTTATACAGCAGGCTATTCCTAGACGATAACACCGCTTTCAAGTAAACATTGTAGAAGCCCCTTTGTTGCATTTTTATCGTAGCGTCTGTTTTGCAACTTCTTATACTTCCTACCATCGGATGTTTTCCAGTAATCCTTTGTGCTCAAACTTGTTATCTGTGATACGGTTTCTATGTTCGAATAGAGAGAATGTTTGTCATCGGCCCGTATGTAGGTGAATCAAGGTTTCGGGCGATGGTGATATGCTCTGGGCATTGTTGCGCTGATGTTCGTCTCTGCAATAGTGCGCTGATATCGTATCGTCCAGTATCCCAATTAACCGTACAACTTCGTATCTACTCGCTTAACTATATATCGTCAGCTCGCTTATACTGTATTGTCATCATTGCTAAAGACAGTTGTTAACCAGATGTGAGTTGTTCTTCGTAAAAGTCCCCCGTAAAAAATCTCTTGTAAAATCGAGCATTCTACTTCGACTTAGCAACGTTCGGTGCTAAAGACTAACCCGAAACTGTCTGAACAGCCATATCACCACTGTTACAAGAGGTTAATAAAAAAGAGTTTCAGTTGAATACATTTATATAATATCTGTCATTGCGACTGAGTTCAGTGCTGATATCGGTTTGCGAGGTCAAACCATTGACGGTTGATTACTGACAGATCGATACAAGTGTGTCGCAGAAAGGAGTGATTGTAGAACGAGTGTCGGTAGTGTAATACTTAGCAGGTGCGACCGGGAAGGGTGTAATGCGGGTTCGAATCGCATCGATGTTCCATCTTCTTTAGAGACAATTAATTCGAGCCAGTGCTCCACAGTCGCTCGTGATCGTTGTGGTCTTCGCCTTCGTTCCCTTCTAGTCGGATGTTCTTTGGAGGAACATTGCTCAAATGAGAACCTCCCCCAGCTCACCTCTTTTTACACAGGGCGGTGGTTGGTGATCACTGGCTACTGATGACTTTGTTATAAGCATTCAACCTTGTTTTTACTAAGTTCGTGCTTTCGCTTGATCAACAAGAAATGCGCGATTGATCTGCAACGCCGCAGTTAATGGGTAAGTCTTTCAAATGATGTAAGTATATGTATGCATTATGTATTCTGGGTAACCGCTCAGCTAAACGTCGGGGTTCATGCAGCTTTTTCCAGTGAGATATAACTTTGCTTTCTTAAAAACTCTAATTTCAGTGGATGTTTATAACATAGTTGCTTCAATGTCAATAAGACTGGATCGCTTGAAGTTCGAAAAAAAAAGTTTCTTCTCACGTTATTTTACCATTTATTTTCCGCGCTTCGATTTCGCGTCTTATCCAGTATTCCTTTCTTCTCAGGAGTCGACAGCATCCTTCAAGGTCAATGTTGCCCCATTTTTTCCAGAGTGGCGCGCGATTTTCCTACGGGCAACTGTCAAATTAGTTTTCTAGAAGTGATCTCGGAAGACTGCAGTTTAAAGTGCTCAATGAATGTATTGAATAAAAAGCCACTGAATAGATTATTGATAGAAAATAAGCCTATGCGTACTTGGCGTATGCTAAACATATTTTGATGAGAATACTCCGAACGACGGCTTTTGACCGCAGGTATTGAGATTAATGAACTACACTTTGTAACGTGAGCGACCGCGTGAGGAGACTTCGATGGTTAGTAATCAGGCTCTAGACGTATCACTATCACGATATGCTATCACATGCAAACCGCTGGTATAGTTGGCAGATTTCCGATAATATCACCATGAAACTGCAAGTGCACAGTGTTTGGGTAGATAAGCTGAGTGTTAACACATTTCAGGTTGCAATCCCGTGAAGCATGCAACCAGCAGTACGACTCCAGCTGTCGCGTTACACTGCAGAACAGCAGTGATGAAGAATCCCAAAAAAAGTGCGAATCTCCCGCCACAGTCTGTGTTACAAGAACTAAGTGATAAGAATCTACTGAAACATCTTTTCCTCTATAACGACAAGGTTCTGTTTCGGAGGTGAAGACATTTCGAGGACCACCAAGTTGAAAGACGACGACAGTTCGTCCAAAATCACTTTTCATATTTGAAATCCTCGTCCAGGCAAGATTAAGTGCAGCCGATCTACATATTTAGTGGACAGCAGAATAAGAAAACGGCTCTGAAGAAGGCAAGACCACTGAAACGTCAGCCATCTGCCATGTATTGTACTTGAATAAATCGTCTTTTAACATCCTTGTGCTTACTGAATAAGCATCATAAGGAGTTATTTAATCAATGCCGAGAGCAATCGATAGTCGGTTCTGGGAAGAAAGATGAAATATGAATGAGTCATATGCTGCCGGCTAATAAACTCACATGAACCAATTTTTAATCGAAGTTTCAAGTGCTCGGTGCTTCTGAAACCTTCGAAGGTGCCCCCACCCTCGACAGCAAAGGGCATTTTAGAGGAGGTGACTAAATATCAGATCCATAAAATGGCTTACAATGGCACGCTACCTTTGACCGTTTATATAGACCTCGTTCTAATAATGGCAATCTGATCACTTTATGAGTTGTCTGCGCCTGTTATAAGGTCTGATAAGGGCACTTATACAGCGCTAGACAAGCAGCTGTTTCGTCCTTCTGGATTCCTCAGCCACTTTATCAGTGCTGTCATCAGGCCTCATAACAGGCTCAAACATGTCATAATGCTAGCAGCTTTGGATCGCTTACCAATCTATCAAGGCAGATGTTTTCATAAACCAGACGACTCTGCTACAAGCTTGGGTTTGTGTCAGGGGCACGCGCTCGATGTTCATAGGTGTTAAATCAAGGGCGTCTAATCGCTGCACTTAGCATCAATCAGGGTTTTACATCGTATAAGTTAAAACTAATGACAATCGTTTGACACTTCTAATCACTTAGCATGATACATCACACTGTACTATTGACTACGGAAAAGTTTTCTTAGAGAAATCTCATAAAAGTTGATAGTGGGATGAAAAAAGTAGTGCATATTATGTCAATAATGACAACAGAAATTCCTATTCTTCAAACACTTCTTTGCAGTGATATGATTTGTAACAACGAAGGAACAGTGGTGGCAAAACAAGGCGTCGCTAATGCAATTGGTTAGCACGCGCTACCGGAAAGGATGAAATGCGGGTTCGATTCCCGCCTGACGTCAAAGTCTCGCGCATCACTCAACATCATAGGGCATGGCAACAGTACTTGTGAAATTGAATGAATCAACAAACACATATAGTTATTTCCAAACCCGACTTCACGTTAACTTCTGGAGTGGTCCATCAATTTTGCCTTCTTCTTGAGCAGACACGAGATTATCAAAGAGAGCTTTACTCACCTCTGGGATTCGTTTCAGTAATTTGGTTTTCATTAGAGCTCGAAAAGATAAACTGGTGTGCAAGGCATTTATTCAAATACTTTTATCACCTCAACTCGAGACATAGGCGTCAACGGCATATTCATGTTTTTTTTTTGAGCACTAACCTTCTCATTTTCAGACGCTTCGCTGATCCGCATTCACAGTGTTTTTTTTTTCACTATGCAGGACCTAGTCCTCTAGCAATCAATTCGCTTTTTCTGTCTTGTTCTTGAACATCGTAAAATACTGGTTTAGAATTTTTCCTTGCAATTTCGAGGATAGCCTAGCTGTGGCATTTCATAGGGCATAGTTGTTGGCTGCAGGAGAGAGTGGGGTGTGAGATGGGATGGGGAGGGGTGGAGCTCTGCAACACTCTCACCGCAAGGATCATCACAACCACTCGGCCACGGCGACCCCTTCTCAATATGCAAGTTCTCTTTTAAGCCGACGCGATGCAGGCGGTAGTAGCAGTAATAGCTGCAGAAGCTGTTGTTATCGCTGATGATCGCGCCTATGTCAAGATCTCGCTCAAGCACACTTTAATCTGACAATGTATTTCGAGCCTTTCGTGACTCTTTCAAGCACTTATACAAAGCGAGACACGTTTTTCGGCCTTTAAGTCTAGTCAGTTCCATGGTGCGTGAAGTAGCATAAAGGATAAAGCTCTAGTCGCATTAATCGCTGAGAAATGCGCCATGTATTCGATACAATTAAAAGCATCGTTAGAGGTGAATGCATGCATATCTGGCTTTCAGAATGGCTCGCGGTGGCCTTCCGCTGTACCGAGTAGAGTGTGCTGCCAGTTTACCAACCGCAGAGGGATGAACGGCTCGAGGAGCAATGAATGCTTGATCAAACCATCAACCTTTTGTGCGACGCAGATCACCCTAATCACTGCGCCACATATGCTTTACAGTTCTGAAGATATCTCATCAATAGTGGAGTCCAAAACACGTTTCCAGGAGTTGCAATGCTAGTCAAAAGATCGACTGTTTTTGGAACCCCCAAAAAACATTCAATATAATTCCAAAAAAAGAATGATTTAAGCTCAAAAAGGGGTTGGTACGCCAGGGTCATACACCGGTGTTTCGGAGGTTCGTCCTCCTCATCAGTGACCCCCGCCCCACATTCAGCCCTGCATTGAAGCAAGGAGGGAGGCGTATGTGGTGATGGCACAAAGTACTATGACACTGTACCATCACCACCTCTCAGTCGATAGATTTTTGCTGTTAGATTAAAACTATATCAAAAGATCGACTGTTTTTGGAACCCCCAAAAAACATTCAATATAATTCCAAAAAAAGAATGATTTAAGCTCAAAAAGGGGTTGGTACGCCAGGGTCATACACCGGTGTTTCGGAGGTTCGTCCTCCTCATCAGTGACCCCCGCCCCACATTCAGCCCTGCATTGAAGCAAGGAGGGAGGCGTATGTGGTGATGGCACAGTGTACTATGACACTGTACCATCACCACCTCTCAGTCGATAGATTTTTGCTGTTAGATAAAACTATATCAAAAGATCGACTGTTTTTGGAACCCCCAAAAAACATTCAATATAATTCCAAAAAAAGAATGATTTAAGCTCAAAAAGGGGTTGGTACGCCAGGGTCATACACCGGTGTTTCAGAGGTTCGTCCTCCTCATCAGTGACCCCCGCCCCACATTCAGCCCTGCATTGAAGCAAGGAGGGAGGCGTATGTGGTGATGGCACAGTGTACTATGACACTGTACCATCACCACCTCTCAGTCGATAGATTTTTGCTGTTAGATCAAAACTATATCAAAAGATCGACTGTTTTTGGAACCCCCAAAAAACATTCAATATAATTCCAAAAAAAAGAATGATTTAAGCTCAAAAGCTTTTTTTTGAAATTATATTGAATGTTTTTTGGGGGTTCCAAAAACAGTCGATCTTTTGATATAGTTTTGATCTAACAGCAAAAATCTATCGACTGAGAGGTGGTAATGGTACAGTGTCATTGTACACTGTGCCATCACCACATACGCCTCCCTCCTTGCTTCAATGCAGGGCTGAATGTGGGGCGGGGGTCACTGATGAGGAGGACGAACCTCCGAAACACCGGTGTATGACCCTGGCGTACCAACCCCTTTTTGAGCTTACATCATTCTTTTTTTGGAATTATATTGCAATGCTAGTCGTTATTCACTATCGAGTGCCAAGCACCGAGTGATAGAGCTGCGACTTCAATTTTTCTCAAAATCCATTGCATTCATCACAAAACGATGAAAGAACGCAGCTCGTGACTAATGAAATTAGATGAAAAACAATTTTAGTCATAGAATGCAATATTGAGAAAGATAGCCGGAGTAATTGGACAATTTACCTCTTCAAGAAATATGCCTCAGTGTCATATGATTAGAAGAAATCACTAAAACTCGTTTGAAAAATTACAGTATTTCAGCTTTTCAACTCTAGTACGGTTTGTTATGTTTTTCTAACATAAATGCATCCCGATGGAGAACTATTACTACCCATCAGTCGCCCCTACTGATAGCAAGATGCTTCTGCTTTGCAAATTACTTCAAATCGTTGAACAGCCACTAGAATCCATGAACTGTTGTTAAGAAAGCTTGGATTAAGTCCCCCACTATGCCTGAAAACTAGGTTCCTAAACATAATGAATTGTCTAGTGCTTGACGTAAATTTTAGTGTTACTTACTGAAAACTTTGAAATAACGAAATCAAATTTCAAAAGTTTATGTGATTTGACAAACAAGCGAATGAGGGGACAAAACGACGCCCAAGGTCGATGAACGAGTTCTGTTGACGTCACAGAGCAGAAGCCTGACGAATCAAAACAAAGATCATGACGCTTTGCATGAAACATATGACGTGCTAATAGCTCGTGGGATTGTCGCTTCGATCAATAAGTAGACAGCTCTTGTTTATACATTAGAAAAAAACTGAGAAGATAGAATACCGTTCCTTCTGTGATAAATAGCAAGAACACACTTCCGAATATCCTCTGAACTTCAAAACCAAGACAAAGCACATTTTAGAGTATTTAGTTATTAGATTATAGTCATTGTAAACTACATGTGGTCATCCCAAGACCGACTGTTTATTAACCTCGGCATGCTTCAGTAATTCTTATTTTTTCTTTCTTCTTAAGCAGGGCACGAGGTGTGAAATCCAAGCTTTATTAACACAATCAAACAGAAACGTTTCGGCAGGTCGTCTTCAAAACAACCTGGAAAGGTCAAAGTTGTTCACAATTCAATCAGTCAAACACCTCCATCACTTTTTCAGAGAAAATTGTCAGACCTAGGTTTTGATCGCATTGAGCACAAAGTCAACCTTCAACATACTCACCGCTTTTTATCATATGTCTTCCACTGTAAGAACATGCGAAGAACAACTGAACGGTAATCGCATAATCCATTAATGTATTATACCCATCAAAATAACAGTTTTATGTACTGACTCATATCATGGGTCGTTACTAGATATTCTTCCCTGAGGTTCATAGCTGGATTGGTCATGTTTATTCAGAACGTCTCAAGCATTTTCTATATTGACGAAACGGGTAGGCCGCCCAATGCTCGCATAGAAGAACACATAGCTGACATGCTCCATACTAGAAAGATCACCTGTTACACCCCACTAGTTATAAATAGAGTCCAAAATCATGCTGGAGTATTTAGTATAGACATCACCATCCTTGAGCAGGAGCAAAAAACATCAGCGCGAAAATACTTGAGTGCTCTGGATGAACACGACCAATCCAGCCTTTAACCCCAATGAAGAATGCCTCGTTACCACCTGTGATATTAGTCAGTATATAAAAATGTTGTTTTGATGGATAGTGCATTGTTGGCCTATGTGATTACCGTTCCATTATTCTTCACCTGTCCATCCAGTGGAAGACATATAATAGGAAGCGGTGCATTTTAAAAGTCGGCATAGTGTTTGATGCGATCGAAATCTAGGTCTGACAATTTTCTCTGAAGAAGTGGTTGAAAAGTTTGACTGATTGGATGATAGACAACTTTGACCTTTGCTAGGCTTTGACGAAGGCGACCTGCCGAAACGTTAGTCGTTTGAATGTGTGAATGAAGTTTGGATTTAGCAGCTCGTGCACTGCTGAAGAAGAAAGAAAGAATATATGTGGTGGACTATTACAGATTAAATAGACTGAGAAGACGATCAAAAAGTCTACTGTCAACCTACGTAGAGTCGGAATTTTTGCGAGCTTTCTCTGATTTTTTCACTATTAATAGTATGCAGCAGTAAACGAAATAACTTTCGTGACGGCATCCGCTACTTGAGGAAAAAGCGACGCTAATATGCTGTTTCTCCATCACAGGATAAATTTCTTGATTGTAGCCTTACCAGGGCCTCACTTTAAAGCATGCAGTGCATTGCAGAAACTGTTAGAAGGAGATCTTCAAAAGACAAATACAGTAGCTACTGTTGTAGTTGCAGAGGCGTAGAGTAGCATTCGCAAAGCTCACCAAAGCCTTGTCAGTTGGAAGAAAAAGATAATTGCACTTCAACGCTCTGGTAGAACAGTTTAGCTTCCAAAAAGGCCATATAGAAAATCAAACACAGTGACTGAGTGAACCTATTTTAGAGTGATGTTTTTACCGTCATATGAAATAAGAAGAGGGTATGTGTAGCAACGGCTTGGACATGTAATGCGTTTCAGCGACAATGGATGAATAAAAGCCGTATCGAGTGGGTTTCTCAGGTCGCCAAACGCACAGTCGGAAGTTCACCGATATACTGGTGAAACTTTTTCGCTGAAATGCTAGAAGATAAACGATATCCAATGAAATCT